TTGGGGAAGAGGAGTCCTGGTTTCTGTGGCTTTAGAGGATAGGAATTCTGGTTTCTGTGACTAGGTTTGGGGGAGATAGAGGGACGGGAGACAGGAGGGCAGAAAGTCAGAGAGACCTTGCTTTTGAGGCCTTCCAGTCTCCTTTAGTTCAAAGTACTTTGGAGTATCGTTTTCTGAGCCCCAACAGTTGGGATGGAAAACAAGCAAGAAGGGAAATGTATTGATTCAAATCCATTGCCATTACTCCAAAAACAATTTAAATAAAGTGTCTATCCTAAAGAGTCACTAGGGACATAGGTCATTGGCATTTCTTCCCTCCTGTCCTCCTGCTTTAGAATAGTTTTAACTTCAAATCCAAAGGGTCATACACACTATTAAGTGGACCGTTAAGAATTTCTCCGAAAAGCACTTACTGTTTCTTTTAGACAAGGGACTCTAGAGATCTTAGGAAGAATAGCAATAACATTTTTCTAAAGCGTGCACCTGCTAATACTGTGTTTTTCTCCCCAGGCTTTTTTCCTCATGGTTTGGGGCAACGTTCATAGGGACTATGTCAGTCTGGTTTACATTGAGGGCCTGCAATTGCTAAATTGTATTCGGCCCCAGGTTGGGAAACAGTGTGGTATAGGGGGCATTGTCTAGTACCAAGTTTTAACCGGACCTCCTGAGACCTAGGTACAGCTCCTGCACAGCCCTGTGGTTCACCTTTTGGCTGCTTAGGTAAATGGAGAAACCTGGGTTCTGTCTTGGTTTGGTTTAGTTTAGTTTTATAAGCTTCCAATTCCTCATCTATCTATCTATCTATATATATATAAGACAAAAAAAAATATATGTATATATATGTATTTTTTTTTTTGTAGATACATGGTCTTTTTATGTTGCCCAGGCTGATCTCAAACTCCTGGCCTCAAGTGATCCTCCTGCCCCAGCCTCCCAAAGGGCTGGGATTACAGGCATGAGCCACCTCCCCTAGCCCTATTTCCTCATCTGTAAATGAAGATAATAATAATCCTTGTTGGGTAGAATTGTGAGCATTAAATGAGATGAGGCAAATAAAATGATCAATGCATAGAAAGGACTCAGTAAGTGTTATCGAAAACAAATAAACAAAATGGGTTGTTACTTTAGTTGCTCTTCCCCTCCTTCTAGCTTGAAACCTTTGTTTGAAAGTAACCCCAATTAAAATAATCTGTATTTAAGAACAACCACCAAGAAAAAAAAAGCTTTGGTTTGCACTTAAAGACAATTTGATATGAATTTTCCTCCAGCCAGAGCTGGCGGGGTTAATGTGCACCAGCTGAGAAGCCATGCTGTTACCTTCTGGCAGCCCATATGCAGATGCTGTTGTATTAATTACGAAAGAAAACCCGATTAATTCGGAAGTCCTTTAACTGTCAGTGAGGCAGCTGCTCCAGCTCTGAAGCCGGTTTTCTTCCTCCCTCCTACTGTCAGTCTACAGCTTTTAATCTCTTCTTTGGAGAACTGCTAAGACTGCACTGTAGGTCCTCAGAGCCCCTGGCTAGTTCGGTCAACTTTCTGATCTGCAGTTACAGTAGTCCAGGGGGAGCTTGCATCATTAAATTCACATATAATTTAAACTAAAATAAAAACAACCAGACCAACCACTCATCCCCCCCTCACATCATTATTTTTTCAACAGTTAAAACCTGATGGGATGCTGGAATTCTAGAACTGGAAAGAATGTTACAGATGATCTAATCCAACTCCCTCAGTTTATAGATGAGCAATTCAATACTCAGATCAACTGGATTGCCAAGGTCACAGCGGTAGTCAGCGACAAAGCCTGGGGTCTGAAAATCTGCCGTCCACTCTAGCGCCGTTCCCTCTTTCGTGTTGCACTCATCGCCGAGCAGCGCACCCAGAGAATCGAGGAGTGAAACCATCTACTTTCAGCTTCATTTCTCTCAGTGCCCCTGTTCTGTCTTATAGACATGTTGGAGATCAATGAAAAAGCTAAAGATTAGTGGGAGAAGCAAAGGGCTTGGATAGCAATGTGTTGAAAACCAGATACCACGATGTCCATGTTGAAGACCTTTCTTCAGTCCAGGTCGCATGGAGAACTCTAGCAGAGTGCACTGGGCTCAACTTCAGCCCCCTTTCCCATTGCACTGGTCTTTGGTTGTTTTGACAAGTTTATTTGTAGCATGACTGTTTTTGTAGGAGAGATGAAGAGGGGGAGGTGATACTTCAGGTCAGATGAATAATGGGGTGTGTCTGCTGTGGTTTTGGCTGATGCAGAGTGTTTTATTGGCTGTTCTATAGTTGACTCTCTGTCTCAGAGGTGTTGAGCCCTCTCCTTCTGGTCCTGAAAAGTGGTTTAGTTGGTTTTCTTCTCTCTTATCCACTCTCCTAGTAGTAGCAGTAACAGAGCTTATTTAGGTTTGTTGTTTTTTTATTCTGGGAATTTAAAGGTTGTCAGTAGGCAGTTACACTTAGATGCTCAATGTGAGAATCTGGGGAAGACTGGAAAAGAGGAAAGCTAGGAAGTGTAGACGAGGGTGAAGACAGTCTAGCTGGACTCCTCACTGCTCAAGGTCAGGCTATGGTAGTTAAATTCTACAAGGTGAAGGGGAGCAGTTCCTATTCTTTTGTCCACATCTACTCTCCATGTTGAGTTGAAGGAGGTTTTAGGAATCATGGTTGCTCTTAAACTATTCATCATGATGGTGGACTTTTTGAAGTTCTTAGATTTGCTTGTAGCTTTCTGTAGACAGTTCTCCACAAGAAATGGATTCTTACAACAAACAAATGTATAACATTAAGCCCTTTCTATATGTTAGTCGTTGTACTGGGTGTTGAAGATACAGAGAGAAATAGGATGGTTCTTCTTGCTTTTGATAAATGAGTAATTAGAATAAACTGTGATAAGTGTTGTATAGTTGTGAATCTGTTATGAAGGGACTCAGGGCTAGCCTGTTGCTACTTGTTAAGTGGTCACACAAGCAGCTGGCTATGTCCCCTTGCTTTTAGATTGTAGATCAAAGATTAGTCTGGTGTTTCACTCTTGTGCTTCATAAATACCTTACACAGAATTAGGCACTCAGTTAATGCTGTTTGATTTTTCAAAGGAACCCATCTCTTTCCCAGGAGAGTAGATTTCCCTGTTTCAGGGTCTGGTGTTGCTGATGTCAGGGTGATGAACTTAGAGCCAGACACGAAAGGAAGGGCCTTAATGAAATACGTAGAGGGGTCTGGGTGAACACTGACCTCTTTAACCCTTTTGGTGGTGCCATTTGTGGAAGAGGAGGAGGCTTGAGGATTTGAAATAGTAGCAGGGTGGGTTCAGTCTGAAGTAGTACTACCTCTTAAATGAATCAGGCCTCTCTTGCTTCAATTCCACAAACAAGATAAGCAGCCTACAAATGGTTTAATGCAGCTTATAGTTAAGTGACTAAACAGAATACTATTTCAGTTAGTGCCACCCAAAATTTCAATTATGATGTATATGTTTGGTTCAAAGATTGGCCTTTCTTACAGCCTGAGAACTGCGTGTCTATGCCTTTCTGAACAAACGCAACGGTTGCCTGAATCATTTAGGTAGGCACTGGTACTAAAGAAGTGGGGAAGTGATCTAGTTCAGATTCTGAGAGTTTTGGTCAACTAATTTCTGATTCTTTTTCCCAAATAGAGGTTCTCATACTTTAGGAAGCTTTTTGTTCTCTCTTGAATACTATTTGAATTTGTTTGGGGAAGCTAGCCACTTGGCGGTGGTTGCGCTAAGGAGAATTTTTTAATTTTTTAAATCGATACATAATAATTTTACATGTTTATGGGATACATGTGATATTTTGATACATGCATTCAATGTGTAATGATCAAATCAGGGTAGTTAGGATATCCATTAAGAAGAATGTTTTTGAGATAGATTGCATCTCTTCCTAGATTTGCTTGCATTTTATCCTAACAGTTCTTGTCCCTTTGTCTTAGGGTCTTGTCATCCATACACGGAAGGAATGTGACTTGATAGGAGGTATTGATCTTAATTGAGTACCAGTGTTTTAAGAAAAACAGATGACTTGGCAGCTGGGATGCTGTCTCCTGCTATCAGAGAGATGAACTGGAAAAGATTCTAGAGCTTACGCAAACTCGAATAACATTTCATTTCTATATGTGTATATTTACAAATTAGCTCATACATTTAGTTATAAAATATGTCATAAATGAGGAAAATAAGCTAAAGAAATTTAACAGGGCTCTACATCATGTGCCACATAATGACATTTCAGTCAATGAAGGTATAGCATTTTTACTGTATCTTTTCTGTGTTTTGATATATTTAGATACACAAATACTTACCGTTGTGTTACAGTTGCCTATAGTATGCGGTACAGGAACATGCTGTACAGATTTGCCGCCTAGAAACAATAGGCTATACCACATACCCTCAGTGTGTAGTAGGCTATACCATCTAGGTTTGTGTAAGTACACTCTTTGATGTTTGCCCAGTGGTGAAATTACCCAACAATACATTTCTCAGAATGTATCCCTGTTGTTAAGTGACACGTGACTGTATGTATATGTTCAATTACTAGGTCTTCTGTCAGAAGAAAGGTTTTACTTTTTGACACATTTGGGTGTATTTCTCCTTGGACTCATGTCCCAGTTAGTGTCGTCTTTTTTGGTTTTGTCATCTTAATGATTCTGCATTAGTGATGGGAGTCCTTGTAATGTCCTTAGGCTATACCTCCACTGACTGAAAAAGGGGGACGAGGGAGGGAAGATCACCCACTGCCACCTTCTGGGTAGAAATAACAGCTTGTTCCTTGGGGAAGAGCTAGGGAGAGGAATTTTGTTTGATATTTGAAGAGCCTTTTCTGACTGGGGTTTTTTCCCTGGTATCTCCTTCAACTGATAGTTTCCTTATAATTTTTCCTCTAGGACCTGACATCCTAATGGGGTCTCTGTGTGAGTCTCTCTCTACTCCTCCTCATTCTTCTCTCTCTGCTCCTTTCTCCTCCACTCTTCCCTTCCCCAACCAGGCCAGCTGAGCTGCATTTCCTTCCCACCTAAGGAAGAAAAGTACCTCCAGAAGATTGTGGACTGCCTCCCTTGCATACTGATCCTCGGCCAGGATTGTACTGTCAAGTGTCAGCTGTTGAACCTGCTGTTGGGGGTGCAGGTGCTTCCCACCACCAAGCTGGGCAGCGAGGAACGCTGTAAGCTCCGGCGCCTCCGCTTCACCCATGGGACTCAGACTCGGGTCAGCCTGGCGCTCCCTGGACAGTATGAACTAGTGCACACACTGGTTGCTCACCAGGGCAACTGGGAGACCATCCCCGAGGAGGATCTGGAGGTCCAAGAGGACGGTGAGGATGCTGCTCATGTTTTAGCCGAACTGGAGGTAACGATGCACCACGCTCTCTTACAGGTACCAGTCTCATGCTTATACACCGATTGTACACACAGACACCAGCTTTTCTTTTATTTTGACTTTCTCAAAAAGTAATTTGGTAATATATACTCTGGGCTCTGAGCAGGAGCTGATGAGTCAGAGAAACATAATCTAGGAAGTTGAACCAACAGACAAGGCTGTAGCAATGCCCATCCTTGCTTCTGCTTACCAGGCTGCAAGGCCCTGAGTAATTTGCTTTTCTCCTTGCCTCCTTACCTTCCTTTCTATTAACACAGTAAAAGGAATGTGTGATACTTGCATCTCAACATGCTTTTACAGAATAATTATGATCGAAGTTAGAAATTCTTTTTCATTTCTTAGCAAGGAAATACTGCTGGAATTGTCTCTAGTCACCTCTTTCTAAAAGGAACAATAAGATGATGGATAATTAATGTTCTTACTAGAATTGAGACCAAGAGAAGAATTTTGTGGGTTTTTCCTTAGATCTAACCATTAATTTACTAAGTAGGACAGATAATTTCTCCTACTCTATAAGGAACTCAGGATATGAGGACAGGTCTGGCTCAAAGTGAGGAGACATGGAGATCCCATCATTTGAAGAATATTTTAGCTTTTTTTTTTTTTTTTTTTAAGTAAAGTCCCAAAGAGAGCCCAGATCTTTTGGCATCTCCTAAGAGATCATATTGTCTACCTGGTATTCATATATCCACCTAGGAAGGAGTACTCTCTTTTTCTAGGCTTCTTCTCCTACTGGATAGCTAGGACTGGGCTGTTTGATTAGACCAGATGAGGATGTGACTGGGTCAGGGGTCAGGGGTCAGGGGTCAGGAGTGGGTGGGAATCAAAGAATGCCAACAAGCTCAGAGCAGAGAATTCGTCACCTTGATTAGCTGTGCCAGGAAGGACGGGCTAGTTTGGCAGGAGTTGGGAGAGTGATTTCTTCTTTCTTATAACCTCCTCATCTACCCCTCTTCTAAGAGGCTTGGTCTCTTAGTCAGCGAATGAGTCCTTTGGTTGTGGCCATGGCCTGTGACATTCTAGAGGTTGAAATTGTCATCTCATTTCCTTCCACAATCCATATTTCTTTTATCTTGATAAATGCTAGAGGGGACTATGTAACAAGCCCCTGTTCTTTCGCAGCTCAGTTTCAGTGAGCTACTTGGACGGGACGTTGAAATACCAAATCAGCTTTCTCTCAGCATGGTTAAAAATATATGTGTGTGTGTGTGTGTGTGTGTGTGTGTGTGTATCTGTATATTCTCACTCTTCTCTTTCCTTGAGGAATTCTCTAGCCTCTCATGTTACTTCATGTGGTTTGTGAGGCTTCCTTGGCTTGGCCAATGTTTCTCTGTGTCTGTTTTATTCTCCACTGATTTTGATGTAGAACTAGCGGCAGACCCCAATGTTTCTAAGTTTAGAACCCCTTGATGCTGACCTTCAGAGAGCCCTGCAGACTTTGTGGAATCCAGGCACTGCCCTCTCACTACGGTCAGGCTCCTGTCTCTATGAAATACATCAGTGATGCCCAGCTCACTGCGGGGAGCGTTGCACAGCTACCTGGAACATTGTTCATGCCAGTGAGAAAGATCTTTTTGTTGAGTTCCAGTTATATTTAGGACCAGTGAGTTAGCTCTAAACAGCTCTTCTATTGATTTGTTAAGGCAGTAGTAAAGAAAGGAAACATTTAGCTAAAGGAAACCAAGATTGAATTCCGGGAAGTGCAACGTTCATTTTGAACTGTCAAATAATCAAAGCAGAATTTCCCCCTGCCCTCTTATACAATGGTCATTCTTCTAATATGTTACTTTAAAGTCCTCATAAATTAGCCATTTTCAGTTTGTTCTAGAATAGGCCAACTCACATGGTCTCACAGTGCTTGGTATTCCTAGCTTTTTAGTTCTGAATCGCCTGAGATTCTCAGTTCATAATTCAACAATAGAGGAACACTGGCAAGCCATTCGTATCCGACACCTCGTTTAGTCTTAAAACTTAGTCATTTTCCAATTGGCAGTACATTTCACCATTCACCGTATTCACTAGTTCCACCTTCACATACAAAAGTACTTCCCCTTCCCCACCCTCAACCCCTTTTTCTAGCACATACATCTACCACCTCCTTTTCTATTTTCTTTCTTCTTAAAAATTTTTAGGTCGGGCATGGTGGCTCACACCTGTAATCCTAGCACTCTGGGAGGCCGAGGCGGGAGGATCGCTTGAGGTAGGAGTTCAGGGGTCAGGAGTGAGTGGGAATCAAAGAATGCCAACAAGCTCAGAGTAGAGAATTCGTCACCTTGATTAGCTGTGCGAAGAAAGAGCGAGACCCAGTCTCTACTAAAAATAGAAAGAAATTAGCCAGACAACTAAAACTAGAAAAAATTATACGGGTGTGGTGGCCCACATCTGTAGTCTCAGCTACTCAGGAAGCTGAGGCAGGAGGATCCCTTGAGTCCAGGAGTTTGAGGTTGCTGTGAGCTAGGCTAACGCCACGGCACTCCAGCCAGGGAACAGAGCGAGACCCTGTCTCTGTCTCAAAAAAAAAAAAAAAAAGATTTTAAAAAATCTGGTGGAACACTTGTTTGCCTCAGAGTTGCTCAATCTGATATATGTATATGTGTGCTTTTTTTTTTTTCCTGTGAACATCTGTAAGAAAAGGAATAAAAAGCAGCAGAGGTAATTAAACTTGTTCAACCTGAGATGGGATTCCTGCAGCCTAGCAGTGAGCCACCGCGTCCGGCCTGATTATGTGTTTTTTACCTTTAGTTAGATACCATATTGTCTCTTGAGTGTGTCTAGACTAAAAGATAAAGGTTGATAGGGTAAAAAGTAGGAAAAGTTCTAACGCAGTGGTTCATACCTATAATCCCAGCACTTTGGAAGCCTGAGGGGAGAGGATCACTTGAGCCCAGGAGTTTGAGACCAGCCTGAGCAACATAGCGAGACCCTGTCTCTACAAAAAATTTTTAAAATTAGCTGGGCGTGGTGGCATGCACCTGTAGTCCCTGGTAGTTAGGTGGCTGAGGCAGGAGGATTGCTTTAGGCTAGGAGTTTGAGGTTGCAGTGAGCTATGATTGGACTACTGCACTCCAGCCTGGGTGACAGAGTGAGACCCTGTCTCAAAAACAAAATAAAACAAAACAAAAAGTAGGAAAGAATGTTGGGTGAGGTCCTCAGGGCAAGAAGATACTGTTAGGGGGACGGAATATATGGAATTAGGCCAAAAATGGTCATTCCAGAGAGAAAGAAACAAGGACGGGTCGATATGTACAAGACAGAGAAATAAAGGTATAATTAAAATAAAGAAACCATTATTTATGGAGCAAAAAGAAAGGGGGGGAAACCGAAGTGATGTGTTAAAAAAGGATATGGAAAGTTCAGGCAAATGCTAAATTATAAATTCTTCTTAGGCAGTAATCCTATGTTCTTTGAATTTAACATCTCTCTCACCTTCCCCCAACACATACTAGTGTACACAGTGAAACGTAACCACCCTGCATGCATTGCTCTTTGCCAAAAAACCTAGGAATACCTGTTATAAGCTAATATGCCTATTAAGGATACGTGTGATTCAGAGACAAGAATTTTTTTTAATCCCTATGCTCACTATAGTAACCTTAATATCTCTTAAAAGACCAGCCCGAAGCTGAGGCTATATTTCCTCAATTCACTATCAGTAATTTATCTTTGACCTTCCAAGGTTAACTCCTGGGGAGAAAATATGACAGAGATTCAGTCTTAATCTCCTCTTTTGTCTTCTCCCTTTGCTAGGATCCTGTCTATCTCTTTTCTGCACAAATGGCTTCCTTTCTATTTTCACTATCTCAAAGATTTCTTTGTGTTTCCTTCTGAGTAGAGGACAGTGGGGGTAGGGAATCTTCCCTGATTCAGAGACTCAAAGGTTGCAAAGTATTGTCCACAGGTAGAAACTGTTGTTGGGGCTATTATAATAAAAATATTTTCTTTTTGACTTCTATTGTGATACATCAACCGGTCCCTGGAGGATCTTACCTGGTTTCATAGCAGAGCCTTTACTTCATAACAGCATATACTTTTAACACAGAACCCTCGGGTTGTTAGGATCTCTGAAAGCATCTTGTCCATCCTTTTTTCTTCTTTCAGAACTTCCCAAACATCAAATCAGACAGTGCCTGACACACAGTGGACCTCCAGTGACTGTTTAATTGTCTTTGTGGTTAAATGGACCTAGATTTATATCCTGGTTTTGTCACTTAGCTGTGTGACTCTGTTCCCTCATTTGTAAGATGGGGCTAGTAATCCCCATCTTTTAGCATCCGTATGAGGCGAAAATGAGAGAGTATGTTTAAAGCACCTACCACAGTGTCTGGGACACGGTGAACCAGTTCCCTCCTGCCTTTGACTGAACACATCAGTGACCGTGAGATGTCCTACTCTCTCAGTCACCCATCCCTTTCCTGACAACCATCTACATTGAAACTCCTCCCCTTTGTCAAATTTAAGTCCTTGTCGTTCCAGCTTATAGTTACTATTCTGCTCTTATTAGAGACAGAGTTCTTCATAATTCATTATGACTTATTTTTGTAATAAAATGAAAGGAGAAAGATACTATAAAAAGGTAAATAATACAGAAGTGTATAAAAGTTGAAAGGTAAAGTTTTCCCTCCTTTTTCTTTCCTCCTTCTCCGTTCTACTTTTGCCTTTCTCTCTTGATGAATCTAGTAAGTGGTAAGAGAAGAAAGCTTCAGATTCCTACTTTTTTCTGCCTCTGTGGGTACCTGGGTGTTTGACTGTCTACAAGGTAGAATGCATAGAGGCCGTTCAGGGTATTCTTGTCAACCTGTCTGTTACCTAATTCATTGCAGTAGGAAATACAGAGAAGATAGTTCAGATCCTTAAAGTCGTCATGCTTATGAATTGAGACTCAGAGCTAAAGCCTTTGTTTTTAGATGTTTGGGATTGTAAATATATTTCCACTATTAGCATGATGGTCTCATGCTTTCTCTGGCTAGCTTAGGGCCACAGTTGTGATTATGTTTTTT